TTTGCTCTGACTCTAAAAAGTTATTTCAGGATCATAAACACTATTCAGATTTTTACTGAGCTAGGATTTTTTTGAGATTTCATCTATATATTTTCTTCTGTTTGAGATTCTGACCTTTACAAATGTTTAGCATCAGGCATTCAATAAGCAATTTAGCATTTAGAAATGAACATTCCCAACTGACTATTATGTTTTGAGCATTTTTCAGAAGGTAAAGGATTGAGGACAAAGGAAATTCTTCAGTTTAAGACACAACCATTTCAGAAGTTAAGCACTGCTCTGCATTAGAGAATTTTGGTTGACTAATGACATTTTTAAAGAAAACCAAGAGACATATACTGCAATTTACTTCACACTTTGTGAAAACATCATTCAGTTGCATAATTAATGTAATCTATGATGAGAATATCTTCTGATTTTCAAAACATCAACAAGCTGATATCCAGATTGTATATTCTGGGTCCCTATTATATATCTTACTGTTTTAAAATGAGTGTGGTTCCTATCTACACTTATCCATGAAGCCTCAAAGCTTCTGAATTAGGTAACATTATGGAGGATACATTTCCTTTCTCTTTTTTTTCTTTTATGTAAGCAGCTGGTGCAAACTCCATCTCTTTAAAAATTAGTTGTCAAATATTTTCTTCTTTCTTGGGAAATAGTTTTTATATATCTCAATTTTTCATATAGCTGGGTTGAGTTGCCATTCTGTTTGGGAGAAGGAGGGGAAAGACTGCTGCTTCAGATAGGACTGGCTGTATCAGTTTCAAATTCCTTTGGGTTGGAAAAAGTAGCAGAATTATACCAGAAGAAAAATTGGGAAGGGCCAAAAAGCAAATTTTAAGACATCAGTTATAATTTGTAGACGGCTCATTTATTATGAAGAAGAGATGAAGTCCTAGGTTTCTGTGTCTGTCAGTGAATAACTGAAATTCTCCCGGCTGGTAACACAGCAAAATCCACCCCAAGTTTGATGTTTATGAGCTCTCTCCCTCCCAGAAAACCACAAACTAATCACATAAATGCCACAAAATTCAGAAAGTCAGCTTCAGCTGGAGACCAACAGCCTTCAGGCAGTTTCAACAGCATGAGTGTCACTGCTGGAGTTACTTGGTGGCTTCTCCAAGCTGGTTAAATCAAATCTCAGCACACATTTCCTAAAGCGATATGGCACTGCCACAGAAGCCCAGCTTTTTGACGGGATCCCTGTTGTTAGTGAATTTAATGGGTTAATCCCATCATCACAGGATTTTTTGTGGATGTGTGGACTTTGGAGGACTTGCTCAGGTGAGGATGCTGGTGCCTGAGTCACCGAATCACTGGAGATCCCAGACTTTTATGTATAGCTCCCTGTGGTTTGGGGGGATCTGTGCTGAGAGGAGCACAGTGCACAGAAGGGGCTGTTGGAATACCTGACACACCCTGGCAGGAACACAGATGGTTCAAACCAGATTGGCCATTGCAGCATCTGGATCACTTTTCAATTCCTCCCAGATCTTTTAAAGCAAAGGTGCAATTTACCCTGTAAAGGGAAGGTTAAAATCATGGAAGTATTCATTAGGGAAAACTGGATTCAGTTGTTGTTGAAGGTCCTGCACACAGATCTGTGATTTACTGTAGGCTGGAAGCAACGTTTAGAGTTTCCTGTCACAGCTCTTAATTATGTTGTGCAGAGCCCCAAGCTTATTTAAAGTTGCAGCAGACAAGTATGATTTGTGTGTTTAGGATCAGGGTGATTCACTCAGACACATGAAAACCTGTGGCCTGTACTGGCTGGGGGACAGCCCAAGGACAGCTCAAGGTCTGCTGAGAGTGGGCTCTGCTGGTATCAACTGTAGTTATTCCCTTGCTTTATTTAAAGCCAAAAAGAAGGAGCAATTTGAAGGTAGATTTAAAAAAAATACTATTATAAATCAGGGGGAAAAATCCAGCTAAATGGAGAAATCTCTTTTAGGGGCTGCATCTCCTACTGCCCTGTCAGCTGTGTTCCAATTTTTTTTTCCCCAGACAGAAAAATAAGATAGGACCTAAACCAACAATCCCATTATTAACTTGCAATTTATGGCATAACACAGCTGTCCAAAAGGATGCTGGATTAATGGCTCTGTTTGCTTTTATCTGTCCACATTTTGGAATGATTCACTTAATTCAGTATTTCATAAGTTTTAACTGTGGACATGCTTTGATAATTGAACTACACCCTGGGAATGGGATACATTTCTGACACCTGGCTATCTCACCCTCCACTAAAAAAACACAGCAAAGATGACATCATGATTTTTTTGGTAAATGATGTAGACTCCACATACCTACTGAATGGATGAATCAAGCAATTCACCTTTCATCAAAAACACTTTAAGATAGCTTTAGAGGATTAGTAAACTTCATGGGAAATAACAGATGAAGGGCAAATGTGCTCTCATTTAAGTCAGTTGCACTGGCTATGACTGCATCATTACTGGCACCTTTGAAGAACTTTTGTCAGTCCTGAGACTGCCTACATTTTCCTTTTCCCCTCTCCTGGCCAGACAGAATGGCATTAACAGGTCTGTATCAAACTGTGAAAGCAGTTCAAAACATCCCAGGGAGAATTTTCCAGGGTCCTTGATAACCTGTGGTAACTTGCTTCTACACATGTGATTTGACTTGCAAGCATTTTGATCTTGCTTTTCATAGCGAAATCTGTGCAGTTTCTAAAATATCACAGAGTTCATTAGCCCTCTGGTACAAATGAGAGATGAAAGGCTGGCCACGGCAGTTTTCTGGCATCCCAGGGTTTCACGGCAGGTGTAAGCATTGCTAAGTACAACTAGATGACACTGTGGATGAGCTGGGCTCACAGAGAAGGCACTTGCACTTTCAGAAAATATTTGGGCAGTTCTTCATCATATATATATATATTTTTGTAGATGCCTTTCAAGACTTGTTAGCTTGTAACATGAAAGAAACATTGAAATGCCTTGATAAAGCAAGTTACTTTCACAGTGGTAAATTACCTGTACCCGTTTCACCCATTAATACAGACATGTGAGGGGAGGAGGTTTGCCAGAAGTCTGTGCTCTGTTACAGCTCAGGGTTTGGTTTGTGATCCTGTGTCATACCCCAGCCCATCCACTCACAGTGACTACTTCACTAGTCAGAAGTCTCAAATGACTGGTTTTGCTTGGCCCTTCCACACAAAGCAAACAAGAAGAACTTGCTTGTATAAAACGGCTGTATTATTAATATCTTATTTTCCATATCAGGGAATCAACAGAATTACTGCATTTTGTAGATCAGGCATCCTGATTGCTGGCATCAGCTGCAGTTAATAACCTCAGAAAGACGGTGTGGTGTCTTTTGTGCAAGCTGGACGTGTATGGTGCTAAGGAGGTCTCTGCTAACTGGACTCAAACACTACTTGAAGAGAACAAAGTGTTCCCAACCCTCTTTCCAAAAATAGAAAAGGGAGAGAGAATACTCCTTAAAGCATTTGCCAAAATGATAAGGGAGGTGAACAAAACCACTCCCAGCAATACTTCAAGCTCACCAGAATACTGCTTTATCTCTTCCAGTGCTGACGCTGCCGATCCTGAACTCTCGGAAGTCTCATCCCACCTGTGCGGGGCAGCAAGAAACAGCAACATTATTTATCTTGCCTGAATTTTGAAATAAAATCATTTGAGGGGGAAAAAAAAAAAAGTTAGTGAACTTCTGAAGGAAGTGACAGACTCTTTGATGGTATCACCTACGTTGGCATGCCCGGGCCTGAAACCCCACCTCTCTCATGTTGTTCGCTGTACATTTAGGTCACTGAAGTACATCTCCAGGGAGGGGCTGTCTCCTGAAAGCTTCAAGATACATTGCTTCCTGTCTCCCTAATCAGCTGTGCAATAGGGTAAATTTAGAAACAAAAGGCAGCACAGCAGTGCTGGCAAATGGGTTTAATGCACATTAAAACCTGTTCTGGAGAAGTCAGAACAGGTTGTGCATGTCTTCAACGCAGGCTCTGAGCAAAATAATAAATGACTTGCATACATTTAGCACCTTTCATCCTGAGAGAGCCTGCAGTATTTTACATAATAGGAGTTATCACCTACCCACCCGTGAGCAGGCACCTGTGGAAGGCAGGGCAGGCTGCACGGGCCAGATGGGGCACAAGCGTGGTAAAGAGGCAAGTGAAGATGATCATCTCTATTCAAACACACAGGAGGAATTTAGGTGGGCACTAGCCAGGTTGGAATTTAGCCAGGAAAACAGTGTATGAAACAGTGCTTGCTTGGCAGTAAGTACAGTGAATTATTTAATGACCCTGAGCCAAACACAGCATTTCATCTTAACTTACTGAAATTGCTCCCAAACATGTTTATATTCCACAAAGTTCTCTTTCAAGTCTTCTGAAGCTTATTTATTCAAGGGTAGAAGTGCAAACAGCAGAAAGTCAGCTACGAGGAAGACCTTCCTCAGTAGGGAAAAAAAGAAAAAAAAAATGCTGTAGAGAGAAAGTTTTGAGGTGAAGGGGGTGGGAAATATGCCACTCCCTTAAGGGAAATACATACCAGTAAACAAATGATGTGTAAGTCTGCAGGCCATCATTTTTACCACACTGCTCTACACCAGAGAACGTGCAAAAAAGACTGTTCCATTAGAAAAGACCACACACTTCTTTGGCTGGACTTTTTCCCCTCTTACCCAGTTTGATGCTTTTGTTTTTGCCAAGACTGGTATCTGGGCTTAGCTTCAAGCTCATCAGTACTTCTCCCCTAGAGTTTCAGCCAAAAATACATCTTTTCCACAAAGGCTGGATGATTTTCAGGATGATTTTACTTCTCTGCAGGAGGTTTTTCTCCTACTAAGTGGGAGCTGTGCTCAATCTATTGTATCTTGGCCACACTCGAACTCGTCTTGCTGGTTTAATTCACAGACAAATTGCACACATGCAGTACATTTAGTTAGAAGACAGATAGCAATAAAGCACCCCTTACCACAGTGGAAACATTTTGTCCAGTTTATTAAAGCAGTTGACCTTATTTAAAGCATGCAAATATTTTCAATAGAAGAAAAGAGAAGGTACCAAACAACACCTTAAGCAGAGAAATAATCAAAGCTGGACAAATGGAAAGTTTTAGCAACTTATTTAGCAAATAAGTTTTTATTTAATTTTTTTTTTTGCATTTTACACTCTCAGTATGATTGCAGGAGTGACAGGGGTTACTAGCTGATGTAGGGAAAGGGTCCAGTGATTTGAAAGTCTAGGAACCTGCATTTTCTAACCTAGTCCTTGAGCTCCAGCAGTGGCCCCAGTTCTTTGACTTGGTGCTTAGGAGTGGACCTCAGAGTCAGCTCCATCTTTCAGCCACCCCAAGTCCAGGTCAGCACCATCCCGTTTCTGAGAGATGCTCATCAAACTTGTCCTTTGAATGCTGCCACAATAGAGCTACTACAGCATCCTCAGACACCAGAAGAGTAAAAGAAGGTTTTCCTAACCTAAAGTTTAATTTACTCCAATGTAAATTCTCACCCTTTACACTGTGGATAATAGATTCATAGTAGCACTTGCCTTTTACTTGAAGTTCATCTTTGCCCATTTAGTCAGCTTTTCTGTAGAAAAACAGCCCAGCTACTTTAATCTTCCTCTCTCACATTTTCCTCATGGTCAGTGCTTACCTCTGGACCATGTTCAGTGTCTGTCTTTCATCAAGTGTTGTACCCAAAAGTCTGACCAGCACTCCAACTGCTGATACGAACCAGTGCAGGATTCCCTTGTGCCTGTTCTATTTGCATGTGTGCATCCCATGAGAGCATATATATTTATTTGTCAGTTAAATAACAGAGAAGTCAATTTTGTGTTGAACTCCTGAGCCACAAAAGCAATTTTATCTATTGAGCTAATAGGTCCTAATTGAAGATTCCTGTAGCTGACTACTGAGTACGCACGTGCATATCTGTCTCAATTGGTTTGTCTCCATTTTTTTCTCAAAACACTTCATTGACTGATCTCATCTTCTGGCACACTCAAAGCCCCTCCAAATTTTGTGTATTTCTAAATACAGTTCACAAATATATGCAAAGTATTAGTTCATATAAATGCACAAAATGTAAACATCTCATCTGAGATTGGAGTATTTGGATAACATAGAAAGGATATAATCCATTTCTACAGATGACACAATGAGGAAAAAAAAAAAGAAAAACAAAAGAAAATCCTAAGATACTAGCCACTGGAGTCAGTTCTAGAAGCAGTCAAGAGTACTGTTTGACTATTATGGGATATAAAAATCTCCTGTTTCAGTAGCAGGCTAGGTCCAGTACAAGCACAGCATGGAGTCCAAAGGGATGATTCAAGATTTAGGGTCACATAATCATAGAATCCTTATGGCTGGAAAAGACCTCAAAGTCCAGCCTTTGAGTGAGCACCCCTTTGTCAGCTAGACATGGCACTGAGTGCCATGTCCAGCCATTTCTGGTACAGCTCCATGGATGGTGCCTCCACTGCTTCCCTGGGTGCTGAGGGGGCTCTCCATACCTCATCCAGGTCATTGATAAAGATATTAAACGGGTCTGACCCCAGTACTGAGCCCAGGGGAATCCCACTTGTGACTGGCCCCCAGCTGGATGTAACTCCAGTCACCAGCCCCCTCTGGGCTTGGTCATCCAGCCACTTCTTCAGCACCCAACAAGCAGTGCACCTGTCTGAGCCATGAGCAGCCAGCTTCTCCAGGAGAATGCTGTGGGAAATGGTTCAAAGGCTTTACTGAAGTAGAGGCACACAATATCCATAGCCTTTCCCTCATCCACAGACAGGTCAGGTTATCTGGTCATAAAAGGAGATCAGGTTGATCAAGCAAGACCTGCCTTTCCTAATCCCATACTTACCAGACTTCTGGCTTCAAAAGCATCCTGAGTCCGCTTCAAATTCCTGGACAACTACTAGGCATTTTATATTCCAGTGCTGCTGCTCTAACAAAGACATACCTAGCAACAAAGTCAGAGAACAGAAGTAGCTACACTCAATTGCAGAGTAAATTCATGTTAATACATTTTAAAACAGTCTAGGCCCACCCATGGAGGCATCTTAAATCTTTAAAAGCAAAACAAACCCCAGCAACTGCCATGGGATCTAAGGGATAGGGAAGTAATAATAAAATCTTAATCTCTATTTAAAGAGAACAGCTCGAGTAAGTAGCACAGTATGCGCTGTGTATCAGTGGAACATGGCACTCCATTGTACTAGGCACCCAACAGGGGTTAATTCTTGCTATGAGGAAACTCTTTGCTCTATAAGGTACCAGTTTGTGTCTCAATAGCCACACACACACCTCTCTTTGTGACTGTGCAGTGACAGAATGCACACACACTAAGGTGCAAAGCATGGACTATGCATTAAACGTGAAAGTAGACATCAGTGCAGACAAATCTGACCTGCAGCCAACCTCCCTTCTGTCCCAGCTTAAAAGCAAAACATGCTCTCTCACAGGGAGCAGAGATTGGCAACCCTACTACTCTTACCCCAGCTCTTTGGTTTGGGGTTGTGTGCAAGGTACCTTCAAATCCCCAAAAGCTGACTACTCCAGACTGGTTCTTGAGAGGCAGCACAATGGAGTAACACGTGTGTTCATATTCTCTCATTATTCATTCTGGTTTTCTGATTGAAATTATTCTATGTCACATCTAAAACCCTAAATATTTAAAAATAAGCAACAACCATGCAGACTTTGTAACTGGGATGACACTTTTACCTTTTTTTTTTCCTTGTGAAGCCTAGAACAAATATAATGCGCGTGAGAAACTGAGTTGTGTTTAGGCAGGAAATTAGTGCTTATATATAGAATATCTATATATAGACACACACACAAATGCATGCAACAATACTCTGTGCCTGTATATACGTATAATGATGCAAGACTTCCCCCCTCACATCCATGATCATTTAATGTACTTCCACTAAAGGGTCACTCTGGCTTCCCAGAAGCAGCTCAACAAGAAAGCTCAATCTAAAAAATAACTAAAACCTTAATTATTAAAAACTTAGGCACAGAAGTTTTCAGGGAAGGAAGAACTGGTGCACATTAATGTGTCAGTGCTAACTCTGCACTATTTTCTACCAAACAGAAGGGAACTGGAGCTAACTGGTGTGCAGCACAGGAGGGCTAACTGGAGTTAGTTCACCCTTCCTACTGAGTGTTCACATGCCAGTGAAAACCATCGCTTGGTATGCATGAATATATGACCTTCCTGTAATGCATTTGTGTGTTTAAACTTGCAGAATCAGATGCATACCTTATTGCAAAGATTATATTCATATGTGGTGATGTCACTGAGTAGAAGCCCCAGAATAGCACAGCTTGAGAATGAATTAAGAGGAAGCACTTAATGCTTAACCCTCAAAGCATTTTGCAAACATTAACATTTCAGTGCTCCCAGGACACAAGTAAAACCATGCACACAACTTTCCTGGGAAATGTTAAAATGCCTTATTCAAAGGCTCAGCAGGAAGTCAGATATGCCATTACAAGGCAGGAACTGTCTTTATCCAGGGCAATGTGTATCCAGGTAGAGTATACCTGACTACATTTCAAAAAATATCTTTATCCTGTTTCAGATGTCACCAGTGCAATCACTTCAATAATGTGGTCATGTTAGATGTTAGTGACACTGAAAATAAAATGCAAGCAAATGTGAAGTGCCAAGACCACCAGATGTCTTCAAAGTGAGACATTTCCAAAAGGAGCTAAGAAACGCAGTCCTCATGCTGCAGCAGTACATGTCTGCTTCCTTCCTATTTTCATGAACCTCACCAGGCTCCATTACTTTCTTTTCAAGGTGATGATTAAATCCACATATTGCAATAGCAAGGGTCCCCAGCAGAGATGGCAGTTGTGAGGAACCTGAGCCTTAGGGAAGTGATGGATCTTCATGTAAAACCAGCTTGTTTTCCAAACCATGGCTAGTATATGGATGAGAGGAACTTGGATGCAGATACTACTGTTTGGGTGACAGATTTTCTAGCTTTCTTGCCACTGAGCTGCAAAGATAAATTTCTATTTCTCAGTGATTTATTGGTGCTTATAACATTCATATTAATTAAAAAAATCTATACAGAAAGATTACCAGATCCTGAAAGGCTGTTCGCAGGAACAAGGACCTTTAAAAGGAAAGTCATGTTTTAAGTGAAATACAAACATTTGAAAAATAAAGGAAGTCGCAGTTTTACACACTGTCAAACACAAATCTAAACCCCAGTGCTTTAGAGCTCCTGCAGGCAGGGATGAAGGGGGTAGCAGGTACAGGCTGCATTGATGGGGGGCTTTAATCAGCCCAGCAGTTGCCACCTTCTGTAGCACTGACGATCTCCCCAACTAGTTTGAACCTAACCTGCATGGCAAGAGTCAGGCTGCCCCACAGGCTTTGCTTTTGCCAGCAATTTCCTGGACTATGCAGGCATTGATAACCACTTTCAGGCTGAACCTCACTGGCTGAACCAGATGGTACCTCCCAGCTGTTGCCATTTGCTGTGAGGTATCACCACCTAAGTCACACCATTTCTTAGCACTGTGGGTTTGGGATTTTGTCATACACAAATACAACCAGTTACCTTGTTTTGACTGTAAACTTTGACAGTCCAGGATTGCAGCTGAACCTCTCAGAGGCCTCTGGGTCACACTTCAACAGCAGATGATGAGTATGAAAGGGTTACATCAATGGGCAAAGCCTAAAAATGGCCCCTTGTCCAGTCAGGAGAGCTGAGACAATTGTATTGCAATGAAACTATGAGAGAAAGACTGAATTACTCTCTCAGCTTCAAAAAACCCATCATGGCTAACACCAGGTTAAGTGCTGGGTAGAAGTTCTCCAACAGGAGGACTGTTGTCCCTGCTCCTGCTAGGACAGCTGGCTGCAGAAATCAAAGCAATGACACAGCCAAACTTCTCCAGTCTCAAACAAGAACAGGAATCCACCACAGTTCAAAAAAAATCATGCTTGCCCATAACCACCCTGTACCAGAAGTTGGGCAGCATCAAGTTTGGAGTCAGACTGTAATTCTATGTTATATTACAGACTTGAAACACGATGGCAGCTGGATTTCAGAATGGAGAAACTCTGCTCTCTGGGGACAAACAGCACTTAGTATTACAGTCCAGTCATTAGGTGTTAGGAAAGCAAAACTCACAGATGGTAAATACAACAAATAATTTAAAACACACTAGAGCAGCTCAGAATGGACATATATGAGGGGAGGAGAAAGAGCATTTCAGGTGAGATTGAATGTAGCATTTATATGGAGCTCTAGTTTGCTGTTGCAGGGCATTGTTGCTGCAGGGCTGCTCCCGACCCTTCCCCTTAAAAAACAAACCAAAACAAAACAACCTCCTCCCCCACAGTCACACTTGCTAATAGACAGGAAAATTCCATACAACTACTTTGCCTCCCATATTCTAAGCCAAGCCTATTTAATATAGAAAATTCTATCATGAGTGACCAACTGCATTCCCACATAGAGAAAATAAAACCAGTGTGTGACAGCCTAGATCTACAGCATTCACTATTACAGCCTCTGCATTACAGACAGAGGAGTATGTCCAGAAAAGTAAAAACCATGAGTTTTCCACAAAATCTGTTAGGCAGCTTTGTCAGATGTGCCAGTATTTATATGTTTCTCACTCAACATGCTCCCTTGGTGCCTAGAGAGGAACACATTGGCTGTCTTATTTAAAAGGCATTCAGTACTGGACATGGTAGTTGGTAAAAAGCTCTACCCTCTGTTCTAAAGACAACTTGGTTCTCCAGTTAAGAGTTGGATTCACCCTTTCATGTCAACCAAGATCTCTCATCCTGTACTGACATCTTCCTATATTGATGACACCTAAGTTTAGAGGGTGCAGATAACCCGTTAGCATTAAGAAGTGGTGACAACAAAGGTCAAGAAGCACACTTTACTCTTCAGGAGGAACATATAAACTCCAGATACTGATAGTATAAATAAAACCAGTGGCCCTAGTTTATCTCTGAATGAACCTCCAAAACAGGAGGTGCTATACAGATCATAGCCTGATCTCAAATAATTATTCTGTTGATGATCCAATATGAAAAATGCTTTCTTTGGCTGATAACTGGCACTTGCTTCCTTGGAAGTATATTATTTCTGGCTTACTGAAATGAATACTTTTTGAAATTATTGAAATTATTTGAAAATATTTCAAAGAGAATTGCAAAGGGAGCCTGTAATACCTGGACCAAATATCCTGTTTTGCAGTAATACAGTCTATTTAGGGCTGCCTCAGAAGGTCACTCATACTTCAACTACTGCAATATGTCACCACCTTATAAATGAGAGCGATATCAGCAAACAAAACTGGTACCTTATCATTCCCTGGCACTGGCTGCCTACTCCCAGGTGGAAGGTGTGATGTTACATTTAAATTTAAAGGATGTGGGTGACTAAAGCTGGCTATGAACTCAGAAGTACAAGACAAACTGATAAATCCATCAAGGGCTGTACCCTTAACCAAGAAAACACACAAATTTGCTGAATTCCACAGGGTTGGGGCATTTGGTAGTGAACAGTAACAACTCTGGAACTGCTAAAATGCAAACAGTGTATGACTTTGGCCTTTCCAAATTGCACTACATTAAAAAAAACCCCATCTTTCAGACTGTTATACAGAAGGTCAAAATTAATGAAACCTGTCAAGACATTTTAAACTAAAATCTTCAGGCACTTTCAAGGTATGTCATTACATATTTCACAATTCATAAGTCAGAACTTGGAAATGAAAATAGTGTGTCTTTATTGATAGTCTGCCACAAATTAATGCATAAACTTAAGAGTTAGCCAAAAATGTATCTGCCATCCGAACATGGCAAGCATTATCTGCAAAAAGTGGATGCTTTCTTCTAATAGATACCCAGATGTTCTGTTACCAGGTCTCACTATAGTGCCATTTGCAATTAAAGTATTGTTTTACACAAGCTGCATGATGCTCACCAGAGTCACTGTCTCTTCATTCCTGCAAGCACACAGACATGTACAATTTAATGTTAAGCCTTTACTGAAGCCAGTGGAACTCATTTGCCTCTCAGGTGAGCTTGCACACCATATTTGCAGAACTGGAGTTTACAACTACAAAAGCAATGACAAGGGGGACAAGAACAGACGCACTACAATAGGCATTCCAACAATTCAATGCATCTATCTTACTGAAGGAAATCATATCTTTACATACTATTGAATGTTAAAAATGAACAAAGATGTTTAAGCACAAAGTATATATTTATACCAAATAAAACAACTGAAAAAGTATTACATAAAGAAAAATAATGTAACAGAATGTACTTAAGTACCTAGCTTACAGTCATGCTCATATCTAAAAATAACATTGTTAAGTAATATATATAATTTTGGACATAATTCTCTAACATACAACATGATTCTGTGATTCTAAATGTGGAGAGTACTTTTTCCATGATACAGAACACAAATTATTTTATACAAGCACACCTGCTAATTTGTATAAAAAACATGCTTGTAAGTGAAAAGGTCACTGTAGTACTAATTTACCATGTAGTGTTAATCTTGTTGAAATTGTCTCTTCTCCTTTTGCATTGGTGAACGCCAACACTGAATGGTACAATATTTGATCCATATGGTTCACTGACACTGCAACCTGTTCCCAAGCAGTAGCCCTACCCGGGTGTTAACAGTACAGCTCTGTACAGCCCCATCTGTCTGCATATAGTGTATTTAAAACTAACAGCTATTACAATTATTACAATGATTTCTGTTTCAATATATACATCAGTATAAAATACTACCCAAAACATTTCTGCATTTCAAACAATTTTAACCACTTCATCAAACAATGCATTTGCAGAATTAAAAAAAAAATCCGAATTAATATTGATTGCCAACAGTACAGCATCTCTATGGTATGTTTCCTAGTAAGAGAGAGAACGGAAATGTTTTAATTAAAATAAGTATCACAAAACATAATTAATGTTAGAGCTGTTCAAGGATTCCCAGTTTGTCAGTATCTACCCTAAGATATGCTACCCAAATACAGTATAAGCCATTTAGTGTTTCTACAATGAGAATAAAACATTCAAATATTAAAGCTGTGACAAACACACAAAAGCAAGGAAAGAGAATTTGTTCTGTACTCATTTCTGTTGTAGCGAGGTACAGCATTGTCAGGAGCTTGCACTCAGTGCATCATATCTGGTTGTGTGCATGGACTGGGGAATGAGATGCTGCAGAGCAGTGCTGCAGAGAGGGATCTGGGAGTCCTGGTCTGTGGCAAGCTGAACGCGAGCCAGCAGTGCCCTGGCAGCCAGAAGGGCCAGCCCTGTCCTGGGGGCATCAGGCACAGCATGGCCAGCTGGGCAAGGGAGGGGATTGTCCTGCTCTGCTCTGCTCTGGGGCAGCCTCACCTCCAGTGCTGGGGCAGCTCTGGGTGCCACCATATGAGAAGGATATTCAACCACTGGAGAGTGTCCAAAGGAGGGCAATGAAGGTGGGGAAGGGCCTTGAGGGTAAGCCACTCCTCATGGCTGAGGTCACTTGGTCTGTTCACCTTGGAGGAGACAAGGGGAGACCTCATTGCAGTCTACAGCTTCCTCATGAGAGGAAGAGGAGGGACAGGTAAGATCTCTTCACTATTAAGACAAGTGACAGGACCTAAGGGAATGGCCTGACGATGAGTCATGGGAGGTTTAGGCTGGATATCTGGAAAAGTTTCTTCACCCAGAGGGTGTTTGGGCACTGGAAGAGGCTCCCCTGGGAAGTGCTCACAGCATCAGCCTGACAGAGCTCAAGTGTCTGGACAATGCTCTCAGGGACATGGTGTGAAGCTTGGGGTTTCCTGTGCAGAGCCAGGAGTTGGAATTGATGATCCTGATGGGTCCCTTCCAACTCAGTTTATTCTGTGATTCTCTTTGTGCTATGATATCTGGATACAACTGTGGAAGACAACTGAAACAGAATCTACTCTGAATTTCCTTGCTGTTGTGGTTTTATGTGAGATTGTTCAAGTTAGGAAAACTTAGTGTCTTTTTCTTTTCCTGAAGGGAGGGAGAAAGAGGAATTAATAATGAAATTACAAAAATGCTACTAAAATCCCTATCTTGGACACAATAACACTGCTTTAGGAGCTACTGTGTCATTGCACAATATAAGTGGCCTATTAATCACTGAATTATTGGTGTAGCAGAATATATATCATTGTGAATGTGTTTTAAAAATTATTATTTTAAAATTTGCCTGTATCCCATAACAAACCATAAAATTTTGTGTTTTTCAAACACTAAAACATTTATGTAAAGTAGTAAATGTACATTTATAGTGGCAAATTTCAAATCTCTGCCTCTGCTGCTTCAGTTTTTAAAACAGGATTTGGTTAAAAGAGTTTTCATTCTTTACATCATCCTAAACCAGAATTATTTCTGAAGCATAAAAGAAATCCAAATGGTAACAGTAATATGATGGGGGGGTTTTTGTTGTTTTGCTGATTTGTTCCTAGCTTAAAAAATAATCAATGTCTTGAAAAAAATGCAAAACAGTAAACCCCAAAAAATCTCTCCTCAGGCGAAGTCCCTGCTAACTGAGAGGTTTTTTTCAAAACTAAGTTTCATGCTTACAGTATCTTTACAGTCATGTTATACACCCTTGAAAATAAAGGCTCACTGTTGAAAATGGTGACAGGCCCTTAATTATAGAGGTGTTAACTGGTGACACTATTTTTCATTAGGAAAAAACCCCAAAAGCCCCACAAAAATTCATAGCTTATATTGAAAGTTTGATTCACGCTCATTTTGTTCATTTAAAAATACTCTTTGGAAACTTGTGTCAACTCCTGCAGACAACTTAGTGATACATCTTCTCCTGTTAAAATAAAAATGATTCATATCACCTCTACCCCATGCTAAGCTCTACTACTAATATACACTTCATTACCTGCTCATGTCACCATCTAACACATATCTTTACATTCTTCTACATATAGTGTCCAGGGCTTATTTTTCACCAAACAGAACTTGGTAACTATTACACTTAGAAGTTTTTATTGAGAAGTTTTTTGGTGTTCTAGCCTTTTCATTGCAACATACAGTGATACTAATAGTTAAGAATTTTTATGTGTGTTGACTTAAGAGAAACTTTTAATAAATTTTTTTTTCCCATTAAGGATTTTAAAATCTGTTCTCACTTAGAGATCAAAACTGAAAACCAGAAGAGAGATTAGATGTAATTTTAAAATGGTTCTGCTACTTTAAGATGCATTTAAAATTTGTATACATGACAAAGGACTCTTTTACATTGCTGTAATCAGATTCTAATTCAAAGTCTCGCAAATACACATGAAAAATAAGCCACTGGTCATGAAATCTAATGATTACATTCAAAGCTAGCCTTTAAAAAATAAAAAAGTTACAGGCAAAACATACTGGTTTATGTACTCACTAGCTTATCAGGCTACAATAGGCATGGTTTAAGTATAAAAAAAGCAGACAATTTAGATTTAAATAAGACTGTGTGAAATCAGAAAAAAACCCTTAGATTTCACTATTTAAAAAAAAAACCCAGAACACCTATAATTACTTCCCATCCTACAGCTACAGTTAAACCAACTAACAAAAATAATCAAAGTAATTTTGAAAAATGGAAATTAGGCTAGAGTATGTGGCAACAATCAAAGTTCATATATGTTTCTATGTAAAATGACTCATGATTTACTATAACATAAAATACAAACAAGAGCACTTTGTGGCTAATGCAAGAGCTACTAGTAGGAACACTTAATGCCAAACAGTCTTCAGCCCTCCTTTACGTCGTATCTCCAAATCAGTATTGACTTCTTTTGACCAGATACATCATTTTTGGCTTGTCACCCCAGTATGTCATGTTTTACCACTTGCCACAGGCAGCAGGAGACAACTAGCTGAGCAAACTACAAGCAGTGACATGCAGAAATTAACTCTCAAATCTGAGTACTTAGATAAAATGATACGCAAGCGCACACTAGGACAAAAGGAATGGCATTCGTCATCCAAAATAGGCTCATCATCCCTCCCCACCCCCCTCCAACAGTAGTTGCAACAGCAATAGAAAAAGATCAAGAAGATGTCTGTTCTTCAGAGTCAACTGTGAAAAAAAGTCAGCAATATATAACAGCAGCGATGGACAAGGAAGAGCAAACCCAAACAAACTTGTTGAGTATTTGTTCATTTACTTTTTCTGAACACAAGCCAAAGTGCACCACACTGGCTTGTTCTGAACTTCAGATACAGATGTCCTAATCTCCTTAGATCCTTCACAGATTTAGAATTCAGTCTCCCTGAGGCCCCTATAACCAAGTAAGAAAACTCTCTTTATCTAGCTTGGTGGCTGCCAAGACAGATTCCATGTCATTAAGGATGTCAGAGCTCAAAGCCTCTTGCAGACTTGGCATCAGTTCTTCTCCTTCTATATTCATTCCATCTCCTTCCAGTGTCCCAAGGTCCACATTTGTCCCTGGAATGGCTTCAAGGTAGTCTGGGAAACGGTTCTGATGGGATGGTATGTTACTTTGGCTGATACTGTCACCTAGTTATAACACAAAGATGGGTATTAAGTATACTGTAAGTACCAAACATACAATTTATCAGGACAACTGGTTAATCATGTACCTCTTGCATCATACAACAGTGTGACTCATAGAAATCCATCACAAACCCCAAAGATAACTTGGCTGCAGGCAGATGTACAAAGAACATGCCTTTGTTTCCAACTTTCACCTACTGACCCAAATCTTACAGATCTTTGATGTCATTTAGCATAATTTAATTTTTACATTTGAAGGAAAAAGACAATACTGAGTCAAATATAGTTTTGGAGTAGAATTAACAAATGTAATTTTTTCATAAATCAAATGTTTCTATCAGAGAAACTGGGGAAATAGGGAAAGGTAGAAAATAATGCAGAAAGTGTCAGAGCTTTTCAGAATTGCTTGTTTTCATTGCAAATAGATACAAGTGTATTTGGAAAACATGCGTTAAAAATGTACACAAACCAGACCTGTATCCATCTCATCAACACTGTTCAGGAAGTCATCTGGGGTTCTGGGTACACTGTAACTGCTCATGCTAAGTCCACTATCTGTGCTTTCATCTCTGGAGTGATATGTTCCACTGTAACAGAAGATAAAGAGGAAAAAAAATGAGGGTAGAACACTGAAAAAAATAAAATAGATGCTTGTTTTGAACTAATTTACGGGCTTTGAAAACATTGCTACCATGAGAAATCCCTTATTCTAATAAAAACCTGACACATTTGTTTGCATGAGACACCTGTGTTTTATTTTATGCAGACCTTTTCAAAAAATAAATTTCAAATAAAACCATATTATTTAGATTCAATTTAACTTGATGATAACATACCTAAGCAGCTTTAAGAAACAGCCTACTTGTGTTTTATGTGTTGTGCATAATTTTAATCTTTTCACACCTACCCACAGCTAAAACCTTTCGAAGCATATCAGATAATCCATAATGATTATAAAAATAATAATTACGGTCCACCCTTTTATGCTTCCATATGGATAAAAAATACTTCTAACTAATGTTCCCATGTTTAATCAGCCACTGAAGTGTATTTTTAGGTCACTGCTGTTATAAATAGTTGGAACTCCTTTAGCAATTCTTCAATTGCTTCCCACTACTTGTTCAGTCACACATGTCAAGGCAAGAGAGCACCCAAATATAAATCAAACCCTGGTACAGAAGCCATCCTATAAACAAACCCTGCTCAGAATGATCTTGCTGACAGAACAGTTAACCAAACTGATGGCATGGGGCCTCACATGCCTTCACTTTCTTACTGCCATCTCCTGCCAGTGCAGCAAGCAAGACCAAGAGAGCCACAGTGGAAAATGTGGGAAGGGGAGGGGAAGTAGGGCACTGTATATAGCATGGTTTTGGTAGCAGGGGTCTGCAGGGATCACTGTGTGACATAGCAGGAGGAGCTGACCCCATGTCAGCCAGCTGCTTCCAGCTGTCTCCAAAGTGCTCAAAGCTGAGCCCATCAGTGACAATAGTGGCACCTTTGTCATAACATATTTAAGAAGAGGGGAAAAATGCTGAACAGCAGACGGGAGAGAGGAATGAGAATATGTGAGAGGAACAGCCTGCAGACCCCAAGGTCAGTGCAGCAGGAGGGGCAGGAGGTGCTCCAGGCACCAGAGCAGAAATTCCCCTGCAGCCCGTGGTGCACAGACCACAGTGAGGCAGCTGTGCCCCTGCAGCCCGTGGAGATGCCAGGGAGAGCACAGACCCACCTGGGCCTGTGGAGGATCCATGACAGAGCAGGGGGTGCCTCAAGGAGGCTGTGACCCCACGGGAAGCCTGTGCTGGAGCTGTGGCCTGCATGAGCAGTTGTTGAAGGCCACCACTACCTCCCTCCCCCCTGCATCCTCTAGTATTCAGTCCTCAGAAAATATTTTCAAAATCTGCATTTCTTCAGGTTATGTATCCTAAGAATCACTGACAATCCTTACTGATTTTCCATCTGGCATCCTCAATGAATATGAACATGATTTGCTGTTCAAATTATCATTTGAAGACATACTAATCCTTCTCATTATGTACTTGTGAAGTATATAGTATTTGCCTTTTTGTCAAGTACGAAAAACCAAAACAATTATGAACAGCTATTCAACATCAGATGCCAGCAGAATGCCTTCAGCCATGTATACAAATATATATATTTGATTACATGAGGACACCTTTGCCACACAAGAAAGGAACCTAACATTTCCTTGTAGATAAATCATAAATATTTATCTTTTTTAGACTGATTTAAGAAGAGAATCACCACACATTTGATAGAATCTTAGTAATTAAATTTAAACAATTTAGAACTTCTGTGAATAAAAATCTGGGTTAGTTTATGGGACAAAATACTAAAAACAGAACTTAAGACTATGCTGAACTTAATCACTCCAGTGGAGAGGGCTTTTTGGCTGTTGCTCTCACACATGGAATGTACAGCACTTCTCTTCAAATCACCCCTTAATACACATTTCCTCTTTCTTCAACAAGGATTTGTTCATTTAGCAGTCACACCACCCAAAATTACTACATGCAACTAAACAGCATTACCCAAAATAGAGTGGATTCTTCTTCAAGTAATCATTGTTAAAATATGTGTATACAAAAGAAGAAATACCAATTTAGGAGTTAAACAGAGAACTACCATCACTACCAATATAAATCTAACCGACAAAAAATATATAAACAAGTGTGGCAAATCAAAAGGTGAAATAGTCTAATGAAGTCTGCACTAATGAATATCCCATTTAAAAAAATCAAATATACCATAATGACAGTAAGTACTGAAGACAGGAGGCAGATTTGATTATGCATTTTAAACCACTACTGAGCATTGTCTCAAATTGCTCCAATGTAGTAATTTTCTGAGATTTTTTAATGCTTCTATTATATTGGCAGCAACCTAAACTCTGAATATATAACTCTGTGGCCTAATTCAGTACTGTCTCACCAGGAACTTTATATACACCCTATAAAGATTGAAAAGAGCATTTCTCGAAGTCTGAACTTTAACATAAAGAGTATCAACAAGACCGTTAAGTCAAAACTATTGGACTGCTTTCTGAGACAGCAATGCATATTCACAGATGTCCTTTCTTAAAAATCCCTCTCCCACACCCATATGGCAGAATTAAGTGCGGTGCCACACATACACCAGCCTAGAAGGAGACACATTTTCAGGCCAAAATGCAAATGAAGATAATCTGAACTCAAGTCAAATACAGATTTTCAATATTTTGTATGGGGTAAGGGCTACATTAAAAAAAAAAACAAACCCAAACATATGCAACCAGGCAAGCAGTATCTTTTTGCACTTTGCAGTAAATATCAAACTGCCATAAAATTACAGAATGTAAATTTGCCCTTTCTAGCTTTTTTCTCTGTTTCTAGTTAATGGCAAAGATCCATCACTTTATATTTTATGTGTGTAGATTCACAATGTATAAACCACATCAGTCCACTGCCCGGGCGATTTGAAACCTAAAGATGCATTTCCTTCAGGTCAGAAGACAGGTTTTGAGCATGTGAGGACCTGTATGATGTATGATGGCAACAGCCTTCCAGCAGTTCAAGCCAGAATGTTACTATACCACAGTGATACCATCACCTATCTACAGAGGTTTCCCATATAAGAGCAAGCCAGGTTTAAATTATCTTGTCTCTTTTATTTCATAGGACAAAGCCAGCACAGTTGAGGCTCACACAAGAACACCGTACAGGATGAATTCCATGTAGGATACTCCCTCCAAAAAAAATCAAGTTTTCTAATCATAATTGTCTGTGTAGGGGATAAATCTTCCCAAAGGGATTACCCAGAATACAGATGTCGCTTATCTCAAGCTGCAGCAGAGTCTCTAAAGTTGTAATGTTTGGTAGGAAGCATTTGCAAGCTGAAATTTGAACAGTATTTCCAACAAAATAAACACTTCAAGTCAGAGGGATTTAGGAAAAAGTTTTATGAAAGACTAGTCTATATTTTAAGATTCTAAGTCTTGAATGAAAATGCCCACTTCAAAATAATACAGCATTTAAAATGAAACATGCCAATATTTGTAGACCTAACATTAGCAGAGTAAAAATACTGCTAAATACCTGAAGTGTAAGGGAGGGGTGAATGGAGAAACCTTAAAATGAACCTCAAGCTGTAATCCTAAATGTGCCTCACAGTTCATTTGATCTCACAGTGAGCTATTCACAAATTCAGTCAGTAATTTGAAATGACTGTTAGTCAACAGATTATGCAGAGGCAAACATGTTATGACTTTGAATAAAAACCTTCCTACAAGTCTGAACAGACTACTTCCTCCCACAGGAGACAGCTTTTAATCTTCAGCTTTTACTAGACTTGCCATTTAAGGAAAGATTCATTTACAGCTGTGGCTCTTGGCACAGACAGATGTTCAAAATAAACTATTACATGTACCAAACAGAATTTTAAATCAAATTTCTTTCCTCTAGTAGCTATTCCTACAAACCTGTTAAGAAAGGGATCAGAACTATTTGTAGTCATTGTTCTCAGTTCCTGAGACATTCCAGGAGATGACACGGGGTTTTGAGATCCACCGTCTTGTTCCATTGTTGGAAGCTGGCTACGGAGAGCCAATTCCTAGAACAGCAGGAGAGGGAGAAAGAGATCATGTCAGGCATTTGAGCACTTTTTGGATACATAAACACATGACATTATACATAATTGATGTTTTTTCTGCTTCCAGTTACAAGAGTTAAATGAAATTAAACTCAAGTTTCTAAGGACAAAGCAAGAATCTGTACTGGCTTCAATGAAAATGCAAGTTCCAGCAGCCACGACCACCATTACAGAGAGTGCACTGTAAATGTGTTTATGGATATAAATATCTCTATGCTTACCCAAATATTTTCTAGTTCACTTCAGTATCTTTGTGCTAAGTCTATACTTAAACCAAAACAAGAATTGTTAATACTATCTGACCCCTAATATAACCTGTTTAGCTCTGCTAAATAGCATTTTATCCCCATTTCTTTTAAGTTCTGATTTAGTTCCTGGCTTCCTTTGTACCTTTCTTGTTTCAGTCAACAAACTTTCAAATCTTTCCCTAAAAGTTTCCATTCATGCTTCCTGTTTGAGGCAGGCATTTGAAATTTCTAACTGATCAAATCAGTGATTAGTTCCCTAAGTAAATTTCAAAGCTCCTCAGATTCTGAGTAATTTCTTAGTAAGGCCAAGACACTGCACTTCTGAAGTTACAAACCTAAATTACATATAGATTTTTACACATCTGAATGTTCACCACCTTGAATCAAACCATCCATTAAGCTTGTAATTACTAATTAATGAGAGTGTTAACATAAAATGCATTATATTAAGGGCGGATGGAAATAAGCAACATTTGATGTAATTTCCAGTGACCCCTCTCCCCTTTTTAAACAAGTAATCCATGAGTTGCACATGTAAAAATACAATAATTTTCTTCAAGCAACTCTATTCAAATATCATCAATGTCCCACCAAGACTGAGCTTTGTTATTGCAGAGACTGATAAATCTATTGACTATCCTGTCACCATTACTGGTAGTATGTGACTACTGGGCTGTGTCTGGGAAGATAATCTCAGGAAAAACCAATCCTGTCAGTCTCGACAATACTTAATATTTCTCACTTGTAAAATGAGAGGTCTTCATCCATTTTCAATAATAAGCTTAAGGACTACTATACTGTAGTCTTTTATTATATAAAACTAACTTGCCCCAATTCTTTTTCCAAGTGAAGAAATCTAAGGTTATTTTATTTCCAGCAGGCTGTGTATTCAAGCTTCCCTACTGACAGGTTTTCTTTTCTAATCTGCATATGCTTCACTCCCATTCCTGTGGATTACTATTCTACATATTCCTTTTAAATTTTAGGTCTTGCACTAGAAAATTTTCTCACTACAGCTGATTAGATCTCTCCAGAAAGTGTACAAGCATACCGCTGTTTTTGTGTTCATCACACCCAATTACTGTTTCAAGTAAACCCAGCCCTCTGCTCATCACCACTTATTACTGTTCTAACAAACAGTAATAATACCCCATCCCCATTTTCAGATCACAAGACATTAAACATATTTTAACAATTTCTAAAGGCTTATCCATGACTTTCATTTGCTTATGTAATAAAACCAAATGTAAAACCTACATAATGACATCTTACATCACAGCTAAGTTTGCAACCTTGTATCAGCCACCAATTACCTGATATACAGGTAGACTCATCCATTTGTGAAAAAGAAAGAAAGAAGCCTTCTTTCCTGGAATTTCCCAAACACTGATCTGAAGGCAGAACGTCTTAGACCAGCTATCCCAGAGATAGCTCAAGAAGTGCTCACTCATGTGCTGTGTCCTTTTCCCCTTCCCTCCTGGCTTGATCTGTACTTTACATCTTTATTTCCTTGGGCTGCAGTCCCTGATTTGGATGAAGAGGAGGAGCCAAAAGTGCCAGCAGATTGCAGAAGCAGCTTAATCACACACCAGTGCCACAAAGAGTGGTAACAAAGCAAAATCTACATGGAGTCAATTCTGTATATGAACTAGAGTGACATTTTATATTCTTTGTGTGGCCTTTCCAATTGGAACTGCCTCATGATTCAGTAGTTGTGAGGAAGATAAGAAACCTAGACATCCCCTTTTCAAGAGCTACTGACACCAGGAAAGGAAAAAACAAAAACCCACAACTTTTCTTCTGCTACTGTAAGAAAAAAAGTCAATACAAAGGAATAAAAAATTCAGGAAAACAGGGAAGTTACCTTTGTATTTTTCTAAATCCTCAGTGTGGGAGAGGTTGAAGTTTCATCAATACATGAACTTAAATAGTATGGTAAAAATAAATGTAGCTCAAAACACTAGCCAGCTAAAACAAAAAATCTAATTTCTTTAAAGGCCCATTATAGGGATGTATTAAACCAGGAGAGAGAACTGAACTTTGCCTATTCTTTGGCATGTACTACGTAGTGAAACTAGTATTTTTAAAATTCGTACTACTTTTATCTTTGTTTTAACAACATCGCTAAAAAATGGAAAACTGCAACTATTTTTAACTATTTATAAGTAGCATTACTGCTACTTTTACAGGAGTCAGAAGCACTTTCCCCTCAAAAGAATGTTATTACTCATGTAAGTAATAAATTTGTGTCATTCTGGGAGTCTGAAAGGGAAAGGAATTACCAAAAAAGACAAGCTATTGAGAAACAAATACAGGGCAATTTTTAATCATTTTGTAAGATAAGCAGAGTTTCCTAAAGGCCTAAAGAGTATGTTAAGACTATTTTTCCTAAAAGGTATAAAAAATGGAAGCGGAAGTTGTGTTGCTTGAAGAACAGTCTGCATTTCTACTTCCTTATAAACCTGTTTTGCAATAAAAAAAAGTTGTAGGCTTTCTATACTCAAAAAAATGAGTGTCCAAGTCTCTTCCAGCTCCAAAACAGAGCAATGTGAACTCAAAGCTTTTAATTCATGCTTTAAAATATGCGCTTTATTAGAAGTATTTAAAGTCTGGAGGCAAAAATAAAAGTATGATAAAATCCTGGCTTAGATTTTTATGAATTGATCTCATCCTATTTTTAATGTATGTCATACTCGTTGTTTTAAGTAGCTCTGGGAAAAGAAAAGCTTAGTATTCCTATTGCCAGCACAAAAGCTGAATTTTAGTTATTACACAGAGACCAAAATTATCTGTAATTTCCTTAAATAATTTAAAAAATAAGGTCAGCACTGTGCAATTTATCTGGCTGACCTCATGCAATTTTTTTTTCAAAATTCCAGACAGATTAAGTTTTACATTAAGTTATAGGTCATTCACACCATGTTCAAATTTATAAAACTACCCTTTTAAGAGCATTTTTATCTTCACTGGCCTTTGAGGAAAGGCAGATGACTTGTACAACTCCCTTATATTCTTATTGTATTAAACCTATGATATGCTACTCAATTTTACTTGATATATCCTGAAAATTGATTTTGCAAATTTACTTTAGAAGTGCCAATTGTAATATTTCTGCCCCCAACCATCACTTGACTTTCAAATGATCCACAGGCTTTCCTGGGATGGCAAGGAAGTTTTAGGGGAAAGAGAAGACCACAACACTTATGGGCAGTCTTACAGCACCAGTTGCTTCTTCAGATTAAGTGCTTGCATTTTTGTGAGGGCCAGAAAGTTATAGCACATATACAAAAGAAACAGGGACTGATGGAAGACAAATGAACTCAGCAATGATGAGTTGGGCCATTTGTGAGAACTAAGCAGGAAATGGATCATTCACTGCTTCAGTCACAACCAGCACAGCCAGTGAATGCAGTTCTGATTTACTAGACAGACTTTTAAACAAGGTATTTATCCATAAAGATCTACACACATGAGCAAGCAATACAATTATTTTGATCTGTAAAGCTTAGAAACAAGCTAGAAACAAGCAGCAGATACAAAATGAGCAAGCATATACAGAGGAACTTATCAATTTGTAGTATGCTGATCTTACTAGCAAATACTCTAATATTAGCAGCAAATAAATAAGAAATCTTCCATTCTCAGCACAAGAAAATAGTCTGCACAACATCCAAGAATAATGCCATCAGTACCTCGACATTATTTGCCTCTATTTCTTTCCACAGCACACTGTAAGGGAAGAAATCTGTTACTTAACATCTGTTCAATTTTGTGACATATACAAAACTTGATTGACATCTGCTTTATATTAGAAATTCCTGACAATCAGATGCTAACCACAGGAAAATGGAAAGAGAGCTAGTGGGGATGGAATAAGAGTTAAGTCATGCAATCTCTTCACTAAGACAGACATTTTTAAGGTTTCACAAATAACTGACGATGATAAGCACAAGTAACTGAACAGATGCTTGGTATTTTTAAATTTCCTGGATGTAGTTCTTGCTGATACACACTAAGTCTGAAAGTTGTAATTTTTGCTACAGGTACCTTTGACATTTTTAGAATGTCAGTAAAATACAACCTCATTCAAACAAGAAGAGTTTCTTACAGTGTTTTCTATAAAAATGAAGCTGAGCAATTATTTGCTTTCCAGAAGGTGCTAAGGCTTCCATATGCAACACTTGGAATGTTAGTGTCACCACAGGATACTGCAGTAGCATGGCAGAGAGACCAAAACCTGGCAGGAACACTATGGTTACTCAGTACCAAAAAAAACCTGACTACAGATAGCAATACAACCATGGTACTGTATCCAGGCTACATGGGGAAAAATGTCAAGAAGGATCAGGATGTTGGGCTAGATGACCTCCACCAGTTCCTTCTAACCTAGTGACTGTGTGACATGAAAAGTTCAGAGATCCAGTCAGAAGTTAAGGAACATTTCTCAGATGTTTTTAATCCATCTATACAAGAGATTTCATTAGATGTAAGCTTCAAGAATGCCAGTGTTACATAATTTCTTTACAAACGAAAGACCTTGGCAGTCCCTCTCTAAAACAGACTTAGCCATTCCAGAATTAAGAGCACTGAACATATGAAGATTTAATTTTTATTATTCCTTAAAAGAATATCTAAAATCTAGCAAGAGAAGCAATTACTCTGCCACCAAGCACTGTTTTATCATCAGGGAAGCAGGTAATTCTTCCAAACTTCATTAATTTTATTCAAAAAGAATGAAAGACCTGTCTGAAAGAAAAAGGTTGAACAAAGAATTTTTAATTCTTTCTATACATTTTCCAGATTCACTAGGTCAGCTGTGATCTGATCAGATATACAGACTGGGACTTCAATAGCAGCATCAGCAGAGAAGACAGACTACCTTTGCCTCTACAGTACAAGGCCTCAAGAAGCATTCAGAGAACCAGAACCCAGAAGCAGTTCTTTAAGCACTTTTTTCCACCTGTGGGTATTCATTACATTACTGAGGTGATATGGAAACACAAAAAGTACAATTAGATGGTGTGACACAAATAGTCTAGTATTATAGAACTTTAAAGGTGACATCACTGCCCCTTCTTCTACCCGACAAATCACTCGCACACACACACACCTTGACTCATTAGCAAGTGCAGACTAATAAAACTGATGCCAGGCAGGAGGTATGGTAGGAAGCAAGTTAAAATATAAATGGAATCCTGATTTTTGTATGAATCCTTTCATCAGTTTCCACTCCAAACAGAGCAAAGTGACCACTACATATACATTTAATGAATTATCAGTATAGCCCGAGTTTTCGCTGTTTTTTAGGATTTAAAGCCTTAATTTCAAGAAGTTTCAAAAACCTCATCTTACAGAGTTCAGTATGAAACTGATAACAAACTTCTCCATTTCCTGTAGTTTTTTTTTTTTTTGAGATGGCAACAGGAAGTAGTTAGTGTAAGAGTGAACAATGACAGGGCTTCAGGCATAGAAGAAAACACAGAATACACTTTTGGCATTCTGTAAGAAAAACATCCCCTACGAATGACCTAATTATGCCAGAAGATAAGGTGTTTTACTCCACTACTGTGGAGTAGTTCTCCTTTGTTTATTCTCTTGTATACCCATTATTCTTGAGGACTTTTTTTTCTCCTCCAGAATAGGATCTAATATTGATAAGATCATCATGTGGTTAATGCTTTGTTAATGAATCAAATTACTACATCTCAATTAAAATGCTTCTGTTTAAGAGCTGCTCTGGTATTGCCAAACAAGAAAGTATTTTTTCCAGAGTGTCAGCACTAAGGTCTGAGGTTCCCATATCTCAGAACTAGTAACATACAAGGTTTGTGGTACTCTTCAGAATGCAACAGTACATCAATACTCATGGCTTCCAAACAGAGGACACTTTCTTTCATTCTGTTTTTCTTGCCTAGTGTATACAGAGGTTTTTCTTAAAAGCAAAGTACAGTACAAGCTAATATAAATATTGCGTTAAGAACCAGTAGACTAAAACACTGTTAACAATAGCAAACATGAAGTTCTCTGAATATATCAAAAAATCCACCCTTCTAGAGATTCATTCTATGTTCAACTTCTTTAGCAACTGAAAGAAGACCTCATTAAGCTGTTTATTATGCTTCACATTTTGAACAATTTTATTTTGGTCTGAGCTTTTCATAACTGTTGTTTCCTATACAAAAAATGTATGTGTGCAAGAAGCAGTTAAACATCGAAATGGAAAAATTATATCTGCATAGTAATTATTTTGCTAGGCTAATCTATTAAGTAATTCTTATACTGTTATACTATGCATGCTTAAAAATCATAACTATTTCAAGTGACTTTTCATTAACTGATAACAGATATCCTTCTCTAAGATCATACCTTCTTTAACAAACTGATAACATTCATATGAACAGTACTTAGAAGTCACCAACTACTACCTTAGATAGTTTGCTTCAAATAAACACCTTGATGACATCAGGACTGGAACAGCAGTATCCTCAAGAATGCTATATAAGAAGGTTGTTTTCAATGTAAAAAAAAAGTGCAATGAATTCCTCGTTTGCTCTTAAATATTGATATGAAGTTGTGGTAATGCAGCACTCCTAAAAACAACGTTAGGGCTGTGACCAGAAAAGTGATTCAAAAATGTGCATGGCAGAGGTCGTTTTTTTGTTTGGTTTTTTGTTTTCTTATTTAGAATGTTTTCATGTAGCAAAAAGTTCCCTGCTAGCCTAATTTAATGCTTTAATTTTTCTAATTATGCTGAAACATCAGTTAAGAGCCTACCTGATGTTTTGGAGAATTTGCTGTGCTGGGATTGATATTCCGCAATGCCTAAGAGTAAAAATAAGATGGATAAAAATTACTTTAGCTGCACGGTTTACCTATGCAGGCTATCTTATAAACACCATCTTGTAGTATCAAGCCCCCGAGACAGGCCAGATGAGACAGGATAAGGGAGTTAAGAACTGTGAAAATCATGACACAGTGAAACAAAACTCACAGATTTACCAAGGATGCGTATTTGACAGATAAGCTTAACTTTGACAGATAAGCTTAACGACTAAGGAGAAAAATATGAAGAGAACCGGTTGTCACCTGCTCAAAAGTTAGTCAGGTTCTCAAGGACAACTGAGGCAGGAAGACAATCAGAAGGCCTACCTAGAAGCATGCTAGCACAGGGTAAAATGTCTGTTTGTGGATTAATTGCAAAGCAGGAACAGCAGAAGCCCAGGTGCTTAAGCGGAGAGAAAGTCCTGATGCCACCTTTGCAATGTATTCTTACCTAGAGTACTATAAAAAGTAATGGCTGTAAAGATGACCCATCTTACACCAAGAGATGCTGAAGATTCCTACAAAACAGTCCTTGACTACAAAGGGGATAATGGAAGTCAGATTCCAGGACAGAACACTGCAGGCGATGAAGAAAGAGAAAAGCTGCCTTTGAAGACATTAAGATGTTATCCTCTTCTGATACAAGACCCATCACCCAAAGTGAAAAGGGAAAGATTTTAAAAGGTTTTCCTCAAGGAATAGATTAGTGCTTTTTCTGCCAGTGTCAAAAACCCAAAGAAATACCTCAAATATCTAGCACAGATAGTAGTAACTATTAAAACACTCAGACTGAACAATTGAAGCAGAAGGCTTAGAGTCAAAAGGAGATCAAGCCCGAATTCCAATCCAGAGATTGCGAAGTCCAGCTCTACACTTTAATATTTGCTACAGCCATATCCATATAGTGGATAATACAGCCATATCCATACAGTAGAAAACACTGAAAGGCATATTTTGCAGCCTTATTATGAAGTCTGAAATTCTTTAGCATAAGAAAACCACAGGTTCAAAATGCAGCACAAGTTATTCAGTTGTTTCATGCTCACTCCACTATGGAACAGGTAAGATTTTTCAACAAGGCATCTCCTCAATGTATCTTATAAAAACTTTGAAAACACCTCAAAATCCTACAGACTGCAACAGGTTCTAAAACTGAAGACTTTCCTCCACTTGAAAGGGAGAACTAAAGTAGTTGTGGGAAATAACTTTTTGCATGACTTGGAACACAATGAATATAGGAAGAATATCCAATCACATCAACAGTCCACGCTGTCATCTTTATAGTTTGTGAAGCTGGCTCTTTAAGAGTTTTTTTACAGGGAGGAATGACGGAGGAAAGCAAAATTCTTCAGTCTAAAAAATTAAATACTTTCGCCACTGAGCTGATATCAGTAAGAGAATGAATTCAGACCCTTTTAGATCTCAAAGCTTTTTGTATAGTCACTGGCCTTTAAGACTCACTGAAACAACTTAGAAAAATCAAAACATAACATACAAAAGGAATAGTGGAAGTAGGTGTCTAACCTGTGGCCTCACCTGCCGAAGCAGTTCTTGATGCTTCAGTCTCAGCCTTTCTTTCTCCATCTGTAGTTGCTGGAGTCTCATCTGTTGCTGCTGATTGGAGCTACTCCCTCCCATCACACCACCCTGGGGACTCTGAGGAGCCAGAGGAGGTGGCTGTTTGACTGGAGCACTTTGGCTGATTCGCTGATTCATGGCTAAGGAACCAAAACAATAAAGACTTAAAAAGTAAATTCAAACAAATACATGCAAGGTATTCACGAAAGGTATACATTAAAAAAATATACAAAATTACAAGGCATGACAGTACAAAACATACATTAATATTCAGAGTGTGAAATGTATGCTCATGCATGAGCAATTGATGTGTGCAAAATTAACGCAACAGTCTCATGGTTAAGACCACGTACTTATTCTAAAAGCTTCTAAAAACAGTTTAATGTGCTAACTGGTGCAAAATTCAAAAGTGGTAGTAAAATATTTTAAGTAGAATGAGAAAAATCTCTCTTCTTTCTAATAAACTATTCTCACTGCAGACACAAATAGTAAATAACTTGTTTTATTAATGTGGAATCTTAGGTTCATTTAACTTGAGAACACACAGAATGACAAAATGGATCATTTCACTTTTATTGAAAACTAATAATTAAAGGCTACCTGTTGTGGTGCAAGGTCATGCAACCAGCATTCACATCCTTATTACTATTATAGTGTTAGAGACTTCATTTAGAGCTACCTTGATAGGCAAAAATAGAGTTGGTACAGAAATGGCAGATAAATTATACAGCCATAAATATGGACATCAACACAGAAAACATTTTGCTAGTGCTTCATTTTCTTTTATCCCTCAGAATTATGCATTGCATTTTTCCTGGGGAGTGGAGGCTAAAAATGTAACCTTGAAAGCATAATGCACAATGAGAACCCATCTTCCCTTCCCCTATAAAAATAAGACCTAAGACAATTTTATTTTATAAAATAATACATAACTGGGATGCATCTATTTGATGCACGAGGCGTGATTTCTCCCTCACATTACACCAATACAGTTAAAGTCAACAGAGGCACTAGAGTTTCCAGAGTGAAAGAGAGGATGGGAAAGGCTGACTGTATTTCAAGGGCACTATTTTCAGGGGCTTCAACTTGGAATTAGCTCCCCATCTCCATCGTGATCTCTGTAACAGCCTGAATCTGTTCACACTCACAGGATTCTGCAGAATGCATTTGCTGAAGCAGTGATGGGAGAATGGCAGGGATTTTTTTTTTTTTCTGGGAATGAGGATTATGGTTTACAGAAACTAAAGAAAAAAAAAAGAGAGAGGTTCTTTTCGGATGACAGGATTAAGTGGGGAAAAAAATCATCTGTAGAATTAGTTTGAATTAATGTTTTCGTCATACAGAGGGTTCCGAGAATACTAACATTTCTAACTACCATAAGAAAGGAGAATTCTCTCAAAAAAATCTGTATCATCTTTTCACTAGAAAGCCCTTCAGTCTCCCATGTCCTTTGAGTGGTCAATTTAAAGTACAGTAGTGCTGTTCTGTTCCAAGAAAGCCAACATATATTTACCACATAATACTAAAACAGTTAGAGATCCAACTCTGCAGTCTACCCTTTCAACTAATCCAGCGGTCCAGCACAGACTCAACAGTCTAATGGGAAGAAGGGTCATATCTTCATGAGTCCAGCCAACATAAAATGCTGTAACATAGCTTACAGTAATTTGAAACAGTATTTCATGCAGTTACTAGTTAAAGAGCTTCACACATATCATTGCCAATATGATAAAACTTCCTTTAAGGTAAGTGAACCTGTGAAGTAGGAATAGAAACTGGATCCCAGAACCAAGTAGAAACAACTAGGGCTGCAGTTCAGTTCCAACCTACAAGTCTCATCCTGATGCAGCATGATGAAAAAACCACCAGTGGGAAAATGACATTCCTGTGGATCAAAGCCTAAAATCAAGCAGTTGATGTTACAAGACATGCAGCACCACTTCACCATCAGAACTGAGCTTCAGGACAGAAGGTGACCAGAGTGAGCCAATTAAACATCTTTGCCACACAAGCTGTGGTCTCTAGGCCAGTGACAGGAAGACTGGCCCAAGACACTATCTAGAAACTGTTAAGCAAAAGACCTAACACCATCAATAGCTGTCCTGTAAGGATGTGGGCAATGAACATTTAACTACAAGCACCAGGAGTTCCACTGGGCAATATCTGCTGGAAGCCTGACAGAAATTAATCAACCTTCATTTATCAAAGCTGAAGCAAAGTTGAAGCTAGAGAAAGCAATGCAAAAAGCATTTAGCAGTTTTAGATAAGCTAGACAAGACACGGCTGGAGTGGGGAATAGATCTTCTTTCTCTCTTTTCAAATCTGGAACCAGGACCATGCCTTTTGCTCTATTTATCTTACTCTCTTTCACCTTATAAGCAGAAATGAAGTTAGTAGGGGACAATGGAAAACAGCCTTCTCCTGCTGTTAGTTAATTCTGCAACCCTATCCAAAGTCTGTGCTACTCCTCAGAAGTTCTAGGATCCAAACCCTGCTAATAAACAAGAGAGAAGTCAATTACAGTGCAAAATCAAAAGGGAGAAAAATTCAAAAATTACAATCACCTGAAATGAGCAAAATAATCTAAGTTAAAAGTAAACAAGCTTGTAGAATTTAAGTACCTAAAGCTGAAAAATGTCAATATCTTTTGGTTAAAAAGATTCTCTTTATAGTCTAGTCCCCAGTTATATAATCACGGTTTCAGAGTCCTACCTCAATGCAGTTCACAGCCAAGTCATGTTACAGATAACCTCATAAAAATTTAACAATGTCTAACCTTAGTTAAACACTTCAGTGCAGTATCACTAACATTCCTTCAACACGTTATGAATTTGTTTTTCCTGCATGCACCATACAAGTATCTCTTCCTCAAACAGGCAGCTTTGTATTTCCTGCTCATGCCACATTCTGCTCTTTTTATTTTATATATGTGTATCTTTCTGACAGCTGCTTGTATTATTCCTGTTCTCTCTGACCACTGTTTGCTCCATTCTTCTCATCTACTGACTATGCAATTTTAACTTTAAGAAAGAAATAATGTTTCTCTGATGTTTTTCATTTTATTCCCTCATCCTAGATCCCCAAAATGTCTTCTAATGTCCATTTTGAAAGTAGTATTTCTAAGAAAGAGCACATCTAAAGTAGGAATGTCATAAGATATTGAGACTCTGGCGTACACTTAAAATTCATCAATAAATATTAGGGGATACTTAATGATATGATTTGGTAACTATATGGAAGCTGAATATAAAAATCCAGTTTCTAAATTATTATCATCATCATTATCATCACATCACTGAAAGGATGTTTCTGAACACTTTATTATTTCAGGAATGAAAGTGCAAAATATTTCAAATTGATAAGATTTTAAGCCATCATCAGAACAGATTGTGGAATGTTTTTATATGAGCGTACTCTTTTTAACCATGAAATTAAACTAAAAGTTGGGATATTAGAAGAAGATGCTGCTAAGTGAATTTTACTGACTTAACATATCCAAGTGAAGAACCAGTGAAAAAACCACAACAACAGTATCAATGATTTTCATACACCTTGGTGATTACACAAATGTGCTATCTTCAAGGGAAACTCAAAGAAGAATGTAATTATCTATAGTTTCCAACACAGTATTTAATGAAAAGTGGGGGGGAAACACCTCTTGTTTCAAGTGACAGGAAAAAACAGAGGGTTTTAAAAGCTTTTTGTTGTTAATTTGGGGTTGAGGTACTTTTGCTTGCCTGTTTAGTTGGTAAGTTTTTTCTTTTTACATTCCCAATTCCCCATTACTTACCAGGACATGACTGCAAAAATCTGCACTCTAAAGAATATGGTTATTAATGTGATCTCAGATAGCACATTTTACTTTTTCTACACCTCATGTATTTGTAATGATCCTGACATGCACAGCTCTTTTCAAGTACTTCGAATTCAAAGGTGAAGAGCTTCATTTTATCTGTTAGCTAGGACTTGCCAGTTTCTAATGCATCCTGTTCCTTACCTTCCATGGCTATGGAAAGCATTTAAATAAGGGGCTCTGCACCCACACAGCGGAGGATGCAAAGACCTCACAGGCAGAGCAGGAACAAACAAGTCTTTGTTTCTAGAAGAGGGGGATTTGAGGGAGGAGGAGGGGCAGACAAGTTAAAAAACATGGGCAACTTAAGACAATAAAAAAGATCTTGTCCTAAAGTATGGTTTCACAATCTGCAGGATACAGTCAACTGCAATTGCTGCAATACATTTTTGAGAAAATTACTGGTCTTTAAATGCTACACATTAAATGTTCTACTGTCAACAGCAGAAATGCCTCTTCTGTACTACACCAGACAATACCTGACAATTCCTGAAAAAGGTTTAGACTGCTGTTGATGTACATGAAAAAAACCAAACAACCAAAACCCAAAAAACAAGACCAAGAGAGAGAAGCAATTACCAGGCATTGGTGCTAGAGAGAAAAGGCCAACACATTTTTAACAACTCAAGCATAAAAAGCTAATTTCTCTCCCAAGATCCTGTGTCAGTTGAAAATCCCAAGTCCCAAGGCAGTGACAGCTTGCAGTAACACAGCACCTCTCTCCTATGCAGAATTACATGCAGAGATTGCACCCTTAATGATTAGGAGACACAGCTGAATGTTTGATGTTTCTTTTCTATTTATAATTGCACCCTTCAAAGCTAAACCTAATTTTAATCTGCCAATTTGAAGACACTATTTAGCTGAACAAAGAATAACAAAAAATAGGATGCGAGCATACTATAGCTGACTGTCCTTACTAATAGGAATCAAAGTTTTCATTGGGGGAGCTAAAGAACTTGTCCCCTTCAGCTCCATTTTGAAACTAGACAGCTATTGTGCATTATTTTTGGCTATAGTCAGGTTTTTACCTGGTGCTAGTTTGCAACACTTCAACAAAGGCAAAAATCCTCTTTGATTACATTCAAAAGAGCGGTGAAAAAAAAAATACCAGTAGGATTTGAAAGAGTCTTGGAAGTAATAAAAAACATGTTCCAAGAGGCTTTTAAAGAAAGGCTTGGTGCAACAATTTATTGTTTAATCAGGATGCAAGTTATGTTTCTGGATTGTATTCTTTATAATGTATTGATACATTACTCTAAGGAAATCCCACTCACAGTTTCATAA